AAATGTGAATAATAATTAATTTATTGTAGACATCATAATATATTGGGCTATTCTGTTTAATACATGTAATCTTAGAAACTTGGAATTCTTCACGATATAGCTAAAACGGCAGTTGATAAAAGGAGAATAGTGCGAATAGTCGCCAATAATCTACGAAAATTTCGAATAAGTTTTTTTTTAATTTCCTTTTGTCTTTTATTAAATTAATTAAAGGGAAATGGCATTATAATTTTTTATTTTCTCATTTGAAAGAACTTTTGAAACTACATATCAACTTCTTTTCATATCTTGCTTAGTTCTTGAAATATTTTCACTTGAAGTAATGAGATGTCCGCCATCTTGGATAAATGTTTCATCTCATTAACGGTAGTTTTGGTGACGTCACAACAGAGATTAACCATATAAAAGTATTCGTTGCTGACCAAATATTGATTGGTAGATGTTTTAAAGGTTTTGAGTGATCGAAGGGCAGACTGAGTATAGTTTCGAATGCAAAATGATCAGTGGTTGTCTAGATAAAAATATTGCGTGACGTGATATGCCTATCTACATCAATTGAAGATGGTTACATTTCATTCCTTTCGATCAAAAGATTTGTAGAAGCATGGATTGTAAAATAACTGGATATAGGAAACTTCCTGACGTCACAGTCTAAACCTAGTTGCAATCTGTGACGTCACGCGCATTGCCAAACTTCTCAGCATTTTCGTTGTTTCGCTATATTTTCCGCTTTAAAAGAGTAATATTGAAGCATAAACCGGTCTAATTGTTTTAAAAACATGCCTAAACCACGACAAAGTATTCAAGGTAAACGTTTTTCGTCTTTGTTTTGTATTTTTTACATTTGTAGCTACGAAATTGGCGTCGCCAATTTTAACGGAATTTGCGATGCATTTTTCACTGTTTAGTGCCTGAAATATTTGCTAAAATTGACCGGGAATACTTAGAGATTTCATCGTAGAATGGCGTAGTTATATTTATTTGCTCTTTGACTAAAATGCTTAGCTGTATTATTGCTAAACATGTCGTTTTTGAGAATTTGAGAATAACACTAGAGGAGGCATTGTAATCTCACTTCAGTCAAAAAAAGGGAACGCGACTATTGGGGGGCAAATTCAAGTCCCGGATGTGTATTCGTGTTCCCATTGGTGACGAGTTTCAAATCAGCCAATGAGAGCACGATTTTACATCCGGGACTTGAATTTGCCCCCCATTAGCTGCGTTCCCAATTTTTAAACTCGATGCCTCCTCTAGTGTTATTTATAATCTCTACACGGCAAAAAACGCCGAGACCGTTGCCCAACAGGACTGAACAATGTTTTGCTGCCCACATTGTTCACACTTGTCAACAATATTGAACAATGCTGTTGAGCATGAATCGGGTGTAACAATATTGTTCAATGTTGTTGACAGCTATGAACAATGTGGGCAGCAAAACATTGTTCAATCCTGTTTTCATCAGTATTGCATCAACCTGAGCGTTTTTTGCCGTGTATGGTTTGAACATCCAATCACGCCATCAGCCCATTGAAAACATTAGGTCACGTCAGCTAGTTTCCTATCCATTTATTTTATTATCCATGGTAGTATACATGAGAGCGGAGCGCTGCACCGGAATCGCAGGGCCTCAGGTTCAATTCCTGCCAGGAACCTAAAGTTGCATTTTTCGCTTCTGTTCCTGGTTATGTCTAATAAATG